GCATTCGAGAGTGACTATCATGATTATGCATATTCTGATAGTCGCTAGTATGATGAGTATACCTTCTGTGAAGTGTTATGAAGTGCGCTAATATCTGAGGTTTGGAAATACGCAATATTCGATGTTGGGAATGAGAGTCTATATTCTATGAGTCTAGTGCGCCTGCAAATTCTACTTGCTCTAGATTTGGCCTAATATTCGACACTAGTAGTGATAAATTGAAGCACTATATGATCAAGTTCTATGATCTATATGATGAGTCAAAAATGATAGTTGGAGTAAAGCAAAAATCTGATACTGCAAATAGCCTAAATTTGTGTGTCAATATGATAATACTAACCATCAAGACTAAGGTTCATAATACAACTACCACAATATTGATTAATGACTTATGAACCGCACTCTACAGAAAACCAATAAAAAATTAAATGATCAAAACCATTCATCATTATGTATTATATTAGTACAAAGATGTCCAACTTTTATTATGTAAAAAACAAGAAGTTAAAACCACAACAACACGTTGACTAATTGTTCAAGTAAGTTGTTTTGCCTAGATCACAGAAAATACTAACCACAAAAGTCTATTTCACTTAAAATGGCAGATGTGAAACTACACATTTGCATTTCACTTTCCGCTGTCGCTAAATGATGAGACACCTTCGTTGAAGGTTTGAAGCTACGCCACTGAGGGTTTCGGAAATTATCGGAGCCATTCCAGGATGTTGGGAATGGGTCCTACAACTATGGTCATAGGGCGCCTGAACATGCTACTTGCTCCTAGATTCTTGGCCTATTTACCCTACACCACAGTTGAAAACTTGAAGCCTATCTGATCAAGTCTTCTCATATTGTGAAAAAAAAAAAGAAAAGTTGGAGTAAAGAAAAAAATCTGGCAACTACTGAAAAGTCCTCCTTTGTGTCACCTAGTTAATACTACCATCACCACCTACAGTGCCTAATACAACCACCACCATATTATCTAATGCTAACACCATCTACAGCACCTAATACCACCAATACCTAATAATACTACCACCTACAATGCATAATGCTACCAGTATCACCTTCAGTACCTCCACCAGCTGTCACCAGTGTTTTCATGTATATATTCCAGGAAGGTTAAACCACCACCACCTTATAATCTCATAACGTGGTGTTAATACAAAAATACCAACCACAATTTCTTATAGTCTCCAGCCGCAAATTACAAGAACTTCTACCACTCCCTAAGTCTCCATTATTACGACTACTAACACCATTATTCAATACCCCTTCACTCCTTTCCAGCCACTTAACTTCCCCGTACCACCAACCTTCCCACATTACCAACCACAGAGTCAGTGTCATCAGCTGCCTCCCTCCCTTCCCTCTATCTTCCCTGGTCTGCCTCTCTGGGTCTGGGCCGCGACAATGTTTATTCTCTGACAAAGCATAAAATAGCCTATGGGAATCCCCTGAAGCTTCCCAGCCTTTTGTTCCAGAGTCGCGCTGTGCAGACGCAAATGCTGACACTCCTCTCTTGCTGCTCCACGCACATAACACCACCCAGCCTACGGTTACGTTCAGCTGTGAAAGCCACACCTTAACTCGGTTACTGACCCACAAGCATTGTTTCTTAAACTGTAATGCATGCACCCCTGGAGTGCGCGAATAGGCTCAGGGGTTGGCAGCCAGAAGTACTCAGTATCAGATAGCAGATAACATGGGACTACATATTTGCGTCTACAGTGGCCGACACTAACATCTGATACGCTCAAACTGACTGGGGGGAAAGGGGGGTGCATCCATTTTCGGGGAAACCTACAAGCCTTAAAAATATCTATAGCTTCTTTCTTTCATGATCGGTGACCCTAGGATCATGGGGGAGTGTGAACTTGACTTTCCTAAAGAGTTGGGTCATAAACTTACCAGGGAAAACACGGTCTCCAGAGTAATGAACTTTCTTTTCTAGAGACTCAGTGTTGTACTCCTCCCTTTCATCCAATTTTTTTAATTTCTCATTCACTCCCAGAATAGAAATTCTTCCCTTACCACTCCCAACTCTGCTTGTTAATCACGAAAGCGTATTGAGCAAGCCATGCAGGAGAATAAATAGTTATAATCATAACCAGAATATTTTAAAGGGTAGACCGGTAAGCCAGCATAGCGCCTCAGTCAGATGACCAACAGCTCCAGCTGCAGGTCACCATATAACTAAGACCCGCGTCAGGAAACACTAGTCCTGTTTCCTGACAAACCTTACCTAACCTATCCTATAACACTAAGATTTCCTTAGTAAGCCACAGCTCTGGTCAAAATTACACATTTCCTGGTGGCCTCAGAGTCAGTGGCCACGAAGTAAAAACATCTGCCCACAAATGCTTTTATTAACTGAGGACTATTTTCAAGTGTCTCTCTGATCTCTGTGTGAGACTGAAAAGTGAGTAATAGTATACACTGTATTTAATTATGAACATGACTGTTACAAAACAAATAATATATATATATATATATATATATATATATATATATATATATATATATATATATATATATATATATATTCGTATAATCATTCGGTTCAGAGAACCGACAAATTGGTAAATTAGACACATGTGTAACACTTGGGTATCTTTATTGAGGAAACGTTTCGCCACACAGCGGCTTCATCAGTCCATACAAAGAAGAATGGTGAAGAACAGGAGGAATTTGAGATAATCAATCCCTTAACCTTGAGTCTATGTAATCAGTCCATTACATCGACTCAAGGCTGAGGAACTGATTACCTCAAATTCCTGTTTTTCACCATTCTCCTTTGTATGGACTGATGAAGTCACTGTGTGGCGAAACGTTTCCTCAATAAAGATACCCAAGTGTTGCACATGTGTCTAATTTATCCATCTCAAATGTAATTTTAAAAACAAAATTATTCTATTCACAAAAAAAAAAAAACCCACACTAGTATAGGTCACAGCACTTTAAAAAATACAATCCAAAAACATTTAAATTTCCTAAAAATTATATAATTTACCTTTGAGGCTACAAATTATGATATTAATTCCTTTACAATTAGGTTGTTAGTTATTTTGCATTTAGTCTTCATATACATAATCCTAAATTAATGAACAGTACTTTTTGATGATAATAAAATTAAAACACTGCTGTCGTTCTCTTAAAGTTAATACAAAAAAAATCATGAGTATTCAAGAAACTCTTAGGGTAAGAAAACAAGTTTGTTTCTAGTAATACCAACCGACAAGCTGACTTTTTTTAATAGAAGAAAATTAACCAAGTTGTAAGACATATTGTAATAATTAAATTAAAATGAATTTATTTAATGGCAAAATACGTAACCGGAAAAAAAAATACACTATTTTTGCATGTAACCAATAAACTGGGACTAAAAACTTTGTTTATTAATTTATGAAACATACATTTAAAATCTTATTTTCCTACTTCTTTGAGGTCCTCCTCTTTTTGACCTTGCGTCGTTTTGACGTCTTGTTACTTCGCAAATTACCAGTCCGTGCCACTTTCAGATTCCTAGGAATATCATCAGAGACCAAACTATGATGTTTTCTCCGAGGATGTCCACTTTTCACACTTGGGTGTAGATATGGAAGCTGTACACTAAATGCATACGAGCAACCACATTTGTCAGAGGAAGTATGGCTGTTACACCTATCGTAATTCATGTGTGGTGAAGAATCATTCTTAAGACTACCGGTGCTACCTGAAACCGTTTTTTCCTTGTTCCTACACCTGGAGTGTTATAGCAACTCTCTGTTTCTACTTCAACGGTGGAGTCACTAGTAATGAGTTTTGTTTTCTTGTCTGTGTTGGATCTTTCTAATTTACAAACTGTGGGTAATGGTGAAGCTTCCTCTAGTGCACCAACACAACTAGAACTAACTTCTTTCTTTGGCGAGACAAAAGAAAAGTACTCTGTTAATATTGCAATGTCTCCCGAGGAAGCCTGTGAAGGATCCTCCTGAGTCTTGAAAATGTCAAGAGTTTCACTCCCTATTGATGGCGGAGAAGGTGACAGGTTCTCACAGTTGTCTGCCTTTATTTCTGTTGAAAAGCTTTTGGGCATATTTGTATCAATATAAGGCTTGAATAAAAGGCTAGGTTTTCTATATTTGTAACAATTAAGAGTTTTCTTCAGTTTTATGCGATCAATATTATTTTTCCTAATTACAACATTATCACTCAACTCTGAGTTAGGAGACAAAAAATCTGTTACCCAGTCCCTATTATTACCATCAGTTACATTTCCAGTCTTTTTGCTGTTGTATATATCTCTGGAAGGAGAACACTTTTGGGCATTATTAAACTCTTCTGAGCTATTTATATTATTTAAAGACATTGAACAAGCCCTCCTGTTTACAAAAACCGTCTCTGAACCTTGCTCCAAAAAATCAGGTGAAAAAGTCCCAGCTGGAAGTGTAAAGAAGTCTTCATCGATGGATCCATCTTCATTCTCTATTATTATATGAAGGTCATTGAAACAGCAGTCACTGCCACTTTTTGCCCTAAAGTTTTCTAAATGCAAGAATATTTTCTCTCCACTACTTGGAATTTCCCTACAAGTCCATTTGTTTCTATTATGAATGTGACTCTGTGTACAAATATTGATACAATTAAGTGTTTGGGTACCAACATGTTTTTCAACACTGAGAGCAGATATTTTGTTGGCAAAACTGTCTTTTCTTCTTAAAGAGCAGAAATCCTGTGATTCATAGTTTGGGGTTTCTTTTATTGGGATGAAGGACTGTGCTGTCGCATACTGGTATTGTGAAGCTTTAGAGCTTAAAGCAATCTCACGCTTAATATTGTACTGCTCTACAGCATTGATGAGCTTTGAAATCTCACTATGAATAGTCAATGCATTACTAAAAAGGGCATTTGAATTTATTCTAGATTTTCTCTCCTCAAGATATGCAATAACATCCTCAGCTTTTGTAGTAAGTTTGTATAATATGATTAACTCTTCTTTACTTAAACCAGCCAATATTAATTCTCATATCTGCAACCTGCAATAGTTCTTTAAAAATACTATATTAATCATATTTATTCCATCAGTCTCCTGATTTAGAATCTTATCAAGATAAGAAAATATGGCTTGAACATTTAGGCCTAATGTATTATGAATGACACCTTTTATAATAAACCTCTGAGTTCCATCTATGTCTGGTGACAGCTGTCTTAAAAGTGCCACATTGGCATTTTGCAAATTCTTGCTGTGAATTTTAAGATAAAAGTATTCTTAGCATTACATTTTGATACATTTCCTTCTGTATACATCAAGCATGTTACTGGCTCGGTTATATATGACACCTTCCTTGTCCTACACTTATTTTCTTTAATGCGAGGCATTCCTTTCCTGTTATGGTTTCCTCTAGTCTGTTTAGCCATTGTTTTCATGCGATTTTCCCATAAAACTATTCCACTTTTGTTTTCAGGAATGTCTGGTTCTTCAATAAGAATTTCAGCATTTTCCTGGGTGACATCATTACGTAAGGCATTACCATCAAATATAATAATGTCTTCAGTAATTACAATGATGCTGTCGTCTTTCATGACAATGCTCTCCTGAAGTTTACATTCAAATACTGAATCATCTCCACCAACAGAGGCCGGTGGACATTCATGTGGCTGGAACTCATTTGTAACTATTTTCACGGCTTCTGTGCCAGGTGTACCTCTCTCCCTTTTTCTTAATTTCTTTTCCCTTTTAGGATCATGAGGGAATTCACAAGCTTCGCTGTTAACACTGTGATGTGCCCATTTATTTCTCAAGTTACTATCGTAAACATTTTGCACTTGTTTACTATCAGTTTTCTGAAGTCTTGGTTCTCGCATATGATGGACTGAACTGGAAGATTTGCTGAAAACTTCTTGATTTTCTGTAATATTGCTATTTACAATCTCTTCAACACTTGGCTCTTCAATACGCAACTGTTCATCGCATGACTGCTCATCACATGACTCTTCAACGCATGCCTCAACACATGAATTTACAATGCACGAGTCATCAACGCATGACTTTTGAAGAGTACCTTCATCAAAATTAGAAGTTGTCTTCTTATTACTGACAGTATCCCCACTGTACTCTGACTGCTGCACATTTTCCAGTTTTCTTTTAAGACTTACTTTTGTCTTCTTTTTTTCCACGTTATTTACACTCTGTATAACAACGTTATTTGTGCGTTTCACAACATTCCTAGTATTCTTCTTCCCCTTCTTTTCATTAATTTGTTGATAGTTAATATTATCACAATTAAATTTGGATAGGACTTGTTCACTCAGTTTCTTTTTATGTGGTTTCCTGTTTCCTGCTTTCTTTTTATGTGGTTTTCTGTTTCCATCTGAAGAGTAAACAACAATAAACATTAAATATTTATATAATTTTCGTGCAAATCCAACAATATAAACTACAAACTACCCGTTTTTTACCATTATTTACATGTTTTACTTCTTAAAGACTACATAAGCAAGGATCAAAGTGAACAAACACATTAACACTAAACGTGACTACGTGTACGCATCACTGAAAAGAACTGTACCATAGCTTTACAATGAACTCCTTAGGGCATCAACGAAGGCATTCTGGTTATCCTAAAATCTACACTAAATCTCAATAAACAGCATTTTTACAGTGTACAGTAAGCGCAGTGCATTTTATATACGAAGAAAAGTTATGACTTAACACACAATATCCTTGCCAAAGCACGGGTGAAAACAAAAAATTTACATAATACCCTCATACACAGCCGTAGGTTAGTCTATAGCATCCCTTTTACCTTACTACTGATGAAGGAAAAGAAGAAAATAAAGTGGACTTGCAATCAGATGAACGACGACACCAAAGCATGCAGGTCTGTCAGCACTTCTCTCAGTGCTGCTGGAATGTGTCAAAGAGTGAACTGAGGAGTTTAAGTGCGAGATGGAGGGGTAAGTGTAAGAGACGGAGGAGTGTGAGAGATGGAGAGGTGTGAAAGTATGATGGAAGAGTGTGTGAGTATAATACGAAGGGGTGTAAGAGTATGACGGAGGGGTGCGAGAGCGAAATGGAGGGGTGTGAGAGCGAGATAGAGGGGTGTGAGAGCGAGATGGAGAAGTGTGAGAGCGAGTTGGATGGGTACAAGAGAGAGAAGAGAGTGTCAAATGGAGGGGTGTGACCGTGAGAGAGAGAGGGGTACAAGAGTTAGAAAAAAATGAGTTGGAGGAATGGAAAGTGAATTAAATAAAGAAGAGTGTGTAGAAGAGATGCGAGTGTGTGTTGGAAGACTACTTATATATGTGCGTTTGCAGAAGTAGTGTCTTAGCTCCTGACCCCGTCTCTTGAGTAACTATGACCTACGGCCTCTCGAATTTTATCTTACCTTCTTCTGAAACTGTATATCGAATTTGCATCTAACACTTCCTCATTCACTCTAACATTTCTACCAACCTGACACTAAATAAATACTTCTTAACATCGCTATAATTCGTCTGTGACGAATCATGCATAGTAATCGAGAAGACTCGTCTACTTAAGTCTCTTTTCTCTGACAAAACTTGAGGTACATCCTTCAGTCTTTCCTTACTCAGCGTTTGTCTCAGTTCTGGGATCAATCTTGTTGCAAACTTTGCTTTTCAGGTGAGGGGACTCCACGCTAGGACTACATATTAAATGACGGTTTAACAATCGTTGTTAACCCGTCATTTATTTTGTTCACTAGTTGACTAGGCAAACGAAAAGGAGGTCTGGTCTCGGGCCTGGCTACGTCAGGGTTAAGAACCCCTCGAAGCAGTCAGTTTTGTTACTAAATACTGTTCTGAGGTTAATGTGTGACGTCCTGATTAATGCTTTACGTTCTAATTAAGATCATTTTCAGTCACTGATATTTGCAGCCTTTCACCTCCTCTAATTCTCAAGTATTTGCATGTGCTAGGAGTGAACTCCAGCAGCCACTTACTATATATTCAGCCTCTCCAGTACTCCCTGGGAACAATCTCTCATTTTCATTAGTTTAACGTCAGCAAAAACATAAGACTCAATTGCTTCAGGCATTCTTTTCACACATGTTAAGAAGAGTAGCGTAAACAGGTGTGATCTTTGTGTTATCCCTCTCTTTACTCTTTCTCCAACGTCTTACCCCTTACTGGTAAACTTTATTTTGTGTCTTTTAAGTACTCTCTGATCCCAAGAAGCAATTTACAATTATTTTTTTCTGATCTAATTTTACTATTAATCCCAAGTTTGGTAAAATGTCACATGCTGTCTTTCAGTTCAGGAAAATGCAGTCCACGCATCCCTGTAGTACACTGTTCATGCACCAAATTTTGTTTAATAAAAATAATTTCCAGATTTGTAGACGAATGGTTCAGAGAATGGTTCAGATGAAGCCACTGTGTGGCGAAACGTTTCCTCATAAGATACCCAGAGTTGCACATGTGCTAATTCAAATAATTTCCGTGCAACACTAACCTTCCCGTCGCTCTTGCACTTGTCTCTCTCCCAGATTTCAACATTTTGTATGATCCCCATCGTGCGTGACTGTATATGACAGGAAATATTGGTGGCTTTAGTTCCCACTCTGCAATTATCATACAGAGCAAGGTAGAAGTAAACTGCTGATGTATCAAATTTTGTTCAAAAAATAGAGAGAGAGAGAGAGAGAGAGAGAGAGAGAGAGAGAGAGAGAGAGAGAGAGAGAGAGAGAGAGAGAGAGAGAGAGAGAGAGAGAGAGAGAGAGAGAGAGAGAGAGAGGAGGGTTAGGAAATGCTTCTAAATTTGATGAGGGAGGTACTAGTTCTTAGCTTCTCAATAATGGTAGAAAATCTTAACCTAACCCGTTGAAACTCTTTCAGCGTTAAGAAGAAATGAATTCACCAACAAAAGACTACACATGGTGTCACCAACAAAAGACTACATGTCACCAAAAAAAAAATTGTATAGGGAGTCACCAACAAGAAAATGTTGGAGTCACAAACAAAAGAACAATTAAAACACACAAATCTAAATATACAGAAAACACCAAAGGTAAATTGAACAAAAATATAACACTCGAATAAGCAATATATTATACTTATTATATATATATATATATATATATATATATATATATATATATATATATATTATATATATATATATATATATATATATCTTAAATCTTCTGTACCATATTATGTAATAAAATATTCCTATGGGTACAAAAAAAATATATTAAAAGATGGGGTGGTAGGGGAAGTGGAATATTCAAACGACTTCAGGAAGAAATCCAAATATTCTTACTTGAAGCCTTTTTATCCACTTCTCCGAGGTTATGGGTCCCACAATTTACACCAGAGGTTGACCCCATTCTATATATATATATATATATATATATATATATATATATATATATATATATATATATATATATATATATATATATATATAATATAATGTATCTCGTGTGTCCCCTGGGTTGCAAGACCACCCTTGGCCTGGGTTGCAAGATCATCCCTGGCCTGGGTTGCAAGACCACCTCTGGCCTGGGTTGCAAGACCACCTCTGGCCTGAGTTGCAGGACCACCCTTGGCCTGGGTTGCAAGACCACCTCTGGTCTGGGTTGCAAGACCACCTCTGGCCTGAGTTGCAGGACCACCCTTGGCCTGGGTTGCAAGACCACCTCTGGCCTGGGTTGCAAGACCACCTCTGGCCTGGGTTGCAGGACCACCCTTGGCCTGGGTTGCAAGACCACCCCTAGTCTGGGTTGCAAGACCACCCCTGGCCTGGGTTGCAAGACCACCTCTGGCCTGGGTTGCAAGACCACCTCTGGTCTGGGTTGCAGGACCACCCCTGACCTGGGTTACAAGACCACCCCTGGTCTGGGTTGCAAGACCACCTCTGGCGTGGGTTGCAGGACCACCCTTGGCCTGGGTTGCAAGACCACCCCTGGCGTGGGTTGCAAGACCACCGCTGGTCTGGGTTGCAAGATCACCCCAGGCCTGGGTAGCAAGACCACCCCTAGCGTGGGTTGGAAGACCACCCCTGGCCTGGGCTGCAAGACCACCCCTGGCCTGGGTTGCAAGACCACCCCTGGCCTGGGTTGCAAGACCACCCCTGGCCTGGGTTGCAAGACCACCCCTGGCCTGGGTAGCAAAACCACCCCTGGCCTGGGTAGCAGGACCACCCCTGGCCTGGGTTTAAAGACTACTCCTGGCCTAAGTAGCAAGACCACCCCTGGCCTGGGTAGCAAGACCACCCCTGCCATGGGTTGCAAGACCACCCCTGGTCTGGGTTGCAAGGCCACCCCTGGTCTGGGTTGCAAGGCCGCCTCTGGCCTGGGTTGCAGGACCACCCTTGGCCTGGGTTGCAAGACCACCCCTGGCGTGGGTTGCAGGACCAAGCCTGGCCTGCAAGACCACCCCTGGTCTGGGTTGCAAGACCACCTCTGGCCTGGGTTGCAGAACCACCCTTGGCCTGGGTTGCAAGACCACCCCTAGCGTGGGTTGCAAGACCACCCCTGGCCTAAGTAGCAAGACCACCCCTGGCCTGGGTAGCAAGACCACCCCTGGCCTGGGTTGCAAGACCACCCCTGGCGTGGGTTGCAAGACCACCCCTGGCGTGGGTTGCAAGACCACCCCTGGTCTGGGTTGCAAGACCACCCCTGGCGTGGGTTGCAAGACCACCCCTGGTCTGGGTTGCAAGACCACCCCTGGCGTGGGTTGAAAGACCACCCCTGGCGTGGGTTGCAAGACCACCCCTGGTCTGGGTTACAAGACCACCCCTGGCGTGGGTTGCAAGACCACCCCTGGCGTGGGTTGCAAGACCACCCCTGGTCTGGGGTGCAAGACCACCCCTGGCGTGGGTTACAAGACCACCCCTGGCGTGGGTTGCAAGACCACCCCTGGCCTGGGTTGCAAGACCACCCCTGGCGTGGGTTGCAAGACCACCCCTGGCGTGGGTTGCAAGACCACCCCTGGTCTGGGTTGCAAGACCACCCCTGGCGTGGGTTGCAAGACCACCCCTGGCGTGGGTTGCAAGACCACCCCTGGTCTGGGTTGCAAGACCACCCCCTGGCGTGGGTTGCAAGACCACCCCTGGCGGGGTTGCAAGACCACCCCTGGCGTGGGTTTTGCAAGACCACCCCTGGTCTGGGTTGCAAGACCACCCCTGACGTGGGTTGCAAGACCACCCCTGACGTGGGTTGCAAGACCACCCCTGGCCTGGGTTGCAAGACCACCCCTGGTCTGGGTTGCAAGAACACCCCTGGCGTGGGTTGCAAGACCACCCCTGGCGTGGGTTGCAAGACCACCCCTGGCGTGGGTTGCAAGACCACCCCTGGCCTGGGTTGCAAGACCACCCCTGGTCTGGGTTGCAAGACCATCCTGGCCTGGGTTGCAAGACCACCCTGGCGTGGGTTGCAAGACCACCCCTGGCCTGGGTTGCAAGACCACCCCTGGCCTGGGTTGCAAGACCATCCCTGGCCTGGGTTGCAAGACCACCCCTGGCCTGGGTTGCAAGACCACCCCTGGCCTGGGTTGCAAGACCACCCCTGGTCTGGGTTGCAAGAACACCCCTGGCCTGGGTTGCAAGACCACCCCTGGCCTGGGTTGCAAGACCATCCCTGGCCTGGGTTGCAAGACCACCCCTGGCCTGGGTTGCAAGACCACCCCTGACCTGGGTTGCAAGACCACCCCTGACCTGGGTTGCAAGACCACCCCTGACCTGGGTTGCAAGACCACCCCTGGCCATAACAAGAATAATAATCTTTTATACTGCCTTACGGCGCTCAACGTTCATGTATCACACAACATTTCCTTAATGAGATTTAATCATATCTGATCCCATATAGGTATATTATGTCCTGACACAGCTTCAGCTATTTTGAACGACTGAGAAAATAAATAAAACAATCACAATGCAAATTGAGAATTTATAGAAGAGACAATAAACAAGCAAACCCAGAACTTACCACGAGTCGTTGCTATGGATGCTGATGTTGCAGCTGCAACGTTGCTTCGCCTATGGTAAGGCTGAGTCCTCAGGATCTCCAAACCAGACATATTCTGGTGCTGGTAAGAAAAGTAAACCAGTGGTGAATATCTTGCACAAACTGACAGCTGAAAAGAGACAGATGTTGCTCATGGTTTAATATAAATGATTTTGTTAGAAAAACTGGATACACAAGTGACACAGTGGGAACAAAAACTATGTTTCCCTGTCATATTCTATCCCACATGATGCTTCACTTACACAAATAACCCGCACATAGTAGAGAGGACCTTACGACGACGTTTCGGTATCACTTGGACCATTTACAAAGTCACACTAGCAGAGTGAAGGAGCCAGCATAACAGGCGAGAGGGACAAGGACGGGAACAAGACATGAAGAAACAGTGGTAGTGGTAAGGCTGGTAGTGGAAGCAGTAGTAGAAGCAATAGTTGTAGTAGAAAGTAGGGAGAGTATTTTTGTGGCACAAAACTCTTTTCTATTACCACTGTTTCTTCTACTACTACTTCCACTACCAGCCTTACCACTACCACTGCTGCCTCTCTTGTTCCCGTCCTTGTACCTCTCGCCTTTTCTACTAGTGTGACTAAACGGTCCAAGACGGACCGAGACGTCGTCAGGTCGTCTATCCTGCGTGCGGTTATGTGTATAATATTCCAGTCACGGTATTTAGCATTTTTGTTCTTTATGGGTCACATATAAAGCGCTGAAATGTGTCAGCGTGAAACTGCAGTAGGCAGTAGAAGATATCGTCATGAAAGCTTCACCAGCTGGGGAGGTTGAAAGGTTTCCCTAAAGCATAGATAGAAAGGTCAGTTGTGTGAGGGAATCAAGGTGGAAAGTGAAGGAGACTATTACATATACGAAAATGTTAAAATAAATTTATCAGATGAAGCTACGAAAGAGCGTTGAGTGTTAATCCAGGAGGAAAATAGGAGGCTGAAGCTTCGCGTAGATGAGTTTGGGAACGAGTGTGAGAAGGATTTAGCTTGTAAGGAAGGAATGGTCGCCAGCAGTGATAGTGGCAGCCGCTCTAAGTGGCAAGTGGTTCACAGTTCAGGAAGAAGGAAGAGGAGGAGAGTTAATAAAGAAGATGTGAAGGTAGGAAATCGATTCTCTGTTCTCCAAGACGAGTGTACTTCAGTGGTTAGTGAGGTTGAAGGTACCACTGATTCCCCTGCTAATCAAGGTAAGAATATTTTAATAGTAGGCGATTCTCAGGTAAGATATATGGACCGTGCATTTTGTAACAGAGACAGAAAGGTCAGACAGAGAGTGTGTCTTCCTGGAGCTGGTGTTGGTGACATAGTCAGCAGGTTGGATAATATTATGGCAGGTAATGGGAACAAGCCCATTATCTTAGTGCTGGGGGTAATGACATTGGGAAGGGCAGGAGAGAGGAGCTGCTGGATAAGTACAGGTCAGCCATAGAAGTAGTTAGGTCTAAGGGAGGGATCCCAGTCATATGTAGCATCTTGCCTAGAAAGGGAGTGGGCAATGAATGAATGTCTAGGGCAATTGGTATAAATTGCTGGCTAGACAGGTACTGCAATGAACTTGCAATCCCATTCATTGATAACTGGGACCTATTCTTCGGCAAACGTGATACGTATGCAAGGGATGGGGTTCATCTCTATGGGGATGGAGTGGTTGCATTAGGCGATTCAATTGAGAGGGTAATTGATGACTTGTCTAGGAATTTAAACTGACAGATTATAGAGGTATGGGTGTTTGTGAGAAACAATCAGGCTGCAGCATTAGGGTTAAAAACAGCAGTTATTACCGGGATACCTCAGAGATATGTTTAAAAGACAATATACAAAATAAAGTTGCTAGTAATGGCATATCAAGTGATCAACAAACAAAGAGGGATAGTAGAGGGCAACGAGTGACTAGCTCCCTTAAGGTTTACTATACAAATAGTAGGAGTCTAAGAAATAAGATAGATGAGCTAAGATTACTTGAAAGTGTAGGTAATATAGATATTATTGGTATAACAGAGACCTGGTTCAACCTGAAAGATAGAGAAATACCTTCTGAATGCAACATACAGGGTTATAAACTATTCCATACTGATAGGGTCAGCAGGAAGGGTGGTGGTATGGCGATGTATGTCAGAGAAAATTTAAATTGTTGTCTTAGACATGATATAAGATTAGGAACATCGAACACAGAATCTGTTTGGCTACAGTTTCTCGAGGGACATGACAAATTAATTTTGGGTGTGATTTATAGGCCCCCAAACCTTGATAGGGAGTGCAGTAAGCTGTTATGGGACGAAATTCATAAGCCATCTAAATATGAAAATGTTGTGATAATGGGAGATTTTAACTTTAGACAAATTGATTGGAACAATATGACAGGAAATCTTGAGTCTAGTGACTTTCTTGATACGGTTCAGGATTGCTTTTTAGAACAGGTTGTGACAGAACCAACTAGAGGAAACAATCTGCTTGACTTGGTTCTTGCCAACAAAGATTCACTAATTAATAATCTTGAGGTTAATGATGAACTTGGGGAAAGTGATCACAAATCACTTAGTTTTAATATATCATGGAAATTACCCAGATAACTGCAATCAAATCTCTGTCCCAGATTTTCGCTTGGCCGACTTCATGGGACTGAAAAATTACCTGGCTGGGCTAAATTGGGATGTCCTGACTATGGGTCAGGTAGGTGATCTTGGTTGCCAATATGATGGTTTTCAGAGCATAGTTCTAGCTGCCCAGACAACTTTTGTTCCGAGTAGGGAAATTAGATTTAACAAAAATGATCCCAAATGGATGAACAATAGATTAAAACATCTCATTGGTCAAAAGAGAGGCATACATAAGCGTATCAAAAGAGGGGATGGGCAGTTAAGAAATCAATATATTCAATTAAAGAGAGAAATAAAGAAAGGAATAAGAAAAGCAAAAAAGGATTATGAGGCTAAGGTCGCAAGGGATTCAAAAATTAACCCTAAAGGCTTCTTTCAGGTATACAGAAGTAACATTAGGGACAAGATTGGCCCACTTAAGAGTAACTCTGGTCAAATCACTGACAGTGATAAGGATATGTGTGAAATTCTAAATACCTACTTCCTCTCAGTTTTCACCCACGAAAATACTAGCGATATTCCTGAAATAATAGATTATGTAGAACAGGACGATAATAAACTATGCACGATTGCGGTAACTAGTGACATGGTCCTCAGACAAATAGAGAAACTAAAACCTAACAAATCCCCAGGCCCTGATGAACTGTTTGCAAGGGTGTTAAAGGAATGTAAAGAGGAACTTAGCATACCTTTGGCTAATCTTTTTAACATATCACTACAAACTGGCATAGTGCCTGATAAGTGGAAAATGGCAAATGTAATACCTATTTACAAGGCAGGTGACAGGTCCTTGGCTTCGAACTATAGACCAATAAGCCTAACCTCCATATTGGGAAAATTTATGGAATCAATAATTGCCGAAGCAATTCGTAGCCATCTTGACAGGCACAGATTGATTAATGATTCTCAACACGGTTTTACAAAGGGGAGTTCCTGTCTTACGAATTTACTAACTTTTTTCACTAAGGCGTTTGTGGAGGTAAATCATGGTAATGAATATGATATTGTGTATATGGACTTCAGTAAGGCTTTCGATAGAGTTCCACACCAGAGGCTATTGAGGAAACTTAAGGCACACGGAATAGGAGGAGAAATTTTTTCCTGGGTAGAGGCATGGCTGACAAATAGACAGCAGAGAGTTTGCATAAATGGAGAGAAATCAGAATGAGGGCACGTCACAAGCGGTGTTCCTCAGGGGTCAGTGTTGGGCCCGTTGTTGTTCACAATTTACATAAACGACATAGATGAGGGAATAAATAGCGACATAAGCAAATTTGCTGATGACACCAAAATAGGCCGTCCAATTCATTTAAATGAGGACACTAGAGCACTCCAGGATGATTTGAATAGACTGATGCAATGGTCGGAGAAGTGGCAGATGCAGTTTAATATTGACAAATGCAAAGCTCTAAACGTTGGACAGGTAAATAACCATGCCACATATAAACTAAATAATGTAGATCTTAATACTACTGATTGCGAAAAGGATTTAGGAGTTCTGGTTAGCAGTAATCTAAAACCAAGACAACAGTGCATTAGTGTTCGCAATAAGGCTAACAGAATTCTTGGCTTCATATCTAGAAGTATAAATAATAGAAGTCCTCAGGTTGTTCTTCAACTCTATATATCCTTGGTTAGGCCTCATTTAGACTATGCTGCTCAGTTCTGGTCACCGTATTACAGAATGGATATAAATGCTCTGGAAAACGTACAGAGGAGGATGACAAAGATGATCCCATGTATCAGAAATCTTCCCTATGAGGATAGACTGAGGGCCCTGAATCTGCACTCTCTCGAAAGGCGCAGAATTAGGGGGATATGATCGAGGTGTATAAATGGAAAATAGGAATAAATAAAGGGGATGTAAATAGCGTGCTGAAAATTTCCAGCCAAGACATGACTCGCAGCAATGGTTTCAAGTTGGAAAAATTCAGATTCAGAAAGGATATAGGAAAGCACTGGTTTGGTAATAGAGTTGTGGATGAGTGGAACAAACTCCCGAGTACAGTTATTCAGGCTAAAACGTTGTGTAGTTTAAAAATAGGTCAGATAAATACATGAGTGGGTGTGGGTGGGTGTGAGTTGGACCTGACTAGCTTGTGCTGCTGGGTCTGGTGCAGTGCTCCATCCTTGAGTGGAGATGATCAGACTGGGTGGGTCATTGGGCTAATCCGGGGGGGGGGGGTCACTGGTCTTATCCTGGGGGGGGGGACATGGACCTGCTCCGCATGGGTCAGTAGGCCTGTTGCAATGTTCCTTCTTTCTTATGTTCTTAAACAATTAGAGACCTAGCACCGCCTATAGGTGGTGATAAAGGTTGAAGCTAAAGGCGGTACTTGGATACATAGTGAAGCTATAGGCGGTACTAGGATAAATGTTGAAGCTACAGACTAAGAAGTTATGTGCTAAGATAAACATTACTGCTGTAGGCGGTACTAGGAGGGAGAGAGTGAGAAAGAATACAGTCTATGAGAATAGAAAAAACTAATATTAGATAATTTACACAAATAACCCGCACATAGAAGAGAGGAACTTACGACGACGTTATCTGTTAGATAATTTAGTTAATATAGAGGTTAACCGTAAAAATCTTGAAGTCAATTTCAGCTACACTATGCACAGAAATAGCAGCACTGAATGACCCTTGTGGGTCTAGTGTTTAGTTTTAATAATAATATGCAGAGAAATAAAACTAATATAATATGCATTAATACAGTACAAGTGCGACGACCTTTAATATAAGGGGAAAAAATAGATTCGTGATGCCGGTATGTAATTTCATGACACGATGCTTTTGTTTTGTCCTGAAATGTGTAATAAAGGCTCAACAGAGACTGTGTATAGTGGGTATTAAATATTCAACATAGTAATTCCTTTATATTCAATACAGTAATTCCTCTATCAGTTGGGATGAGCTTAAATTAATCTCGCCTATATCCCATCTCAACATTATTCATATACTGACCAGTCCATGCTGTCCACATCATGATGACCTGACCATGCTGCCCTCATCATCATGACCTAACTATGCTGCCTACATCATGACCTGACCATGCTGCCCACATCATGATGACTGACCATGCTGCACACATCATGATTACTTGATTATGTCCCTCTGATCATTACCCTGATTATGATGACCTGACCATTTCCCCCTGACTATGACGACCTGATTATGCCCCTGACTATGTTGACCTGACCATGTCCCCCTGACTATGAAAACCTGACCATGTCGATCTAACAATGCAGGATCAATGCAGACATTGCTAAAAGCCTCTAGTAGAGGAAACGTTTTTCCAATAAATGCCATAAACCGTATATTGTGTCTTTTTACCAGAACTGTTTCAGCTATCCTCTTTCATATGTCGACTTCATATATTAATATAATATATATATATATATATATTTATATTTTATATATATATATATATATATATATATATATATATATATTATATATGTAGACAGCCTGTACTGTCTGCACAGACAACCCATGCTGTCTGCCAGCTTAGTTCATATTTCGCGCCACTCAGGTGCTGCCATCTATAGGCCTTGCCACTTCAGTATGCCCAGACATGCCTCCCTCTCACTCACACAGCGGCCTAGCAGGAAGACGTAAGTACCTTCCCAGCTCTCTCTCGTGGGCATGGCCCTCCCGGGCCATGGGCACAACACAAGCCTGTGTACCCACCACGACATTAACAATAAAGTAAGAAGCCTCCGAAGACGTATCATTCACACCCCGCTACCATTATACCAAATAATTTTTTCCGTTATATATATATATATATATATATATATATATATATATATATATATATATATATATATATATATATATATATATATATATAAAACTCTAACAGCATACACAGTAAACGTATATACATGATATCACACACACAAAAGAAGATGTATGACAAAGCTAATGGAGCAGGGAGAGAGTGGACCTAGTAGCGACCAGTGAAAAAGCGGGGCCAGGAGCTATGAATCGACACATGCAACCACAATTAGGTGAGTACACACATAAACGCTGGCAAATGAGACTGCACACGAACGTATGATTACTTACGAGCTGAAGAAGGTACTCGAAAACATGCAAACGAGGCATTCTGAAAGAGAAAGAGATAATAGATAAATACATGTATATAAAATATTTTCTATATAGTTATAAAGTAAAAAAAAAAAAAAGTCCATGATACAAAAAACGAAGGTTCAGCACAGTAATCAACAGGAAGGTTCAACACAATAGAGAACAGAAAGGTTCTATATAATAAAAACCATTAAGCCTGCACAACAAAGAGCAAAGAGGTTCTACACAAAAGTTCCACACAAAGAACATTAATGATCTACATACACAATGTAGCCACTACTTGGTTATTTGGAAGTCATAAAGAAATACCATTTGCTCAGGTTTGAGTACTGTTATTCTTGCTTATATAACAGATCATATTTGGCTCATGAAAATGATAAGACTGACTCCAAGAACTGATAAGATTTGTGAATTCCACTAGTTACAATGCAAAGTCTATTTTATCCACTAGTTACAATGCAAAATCTATTTTTTCCACTAGTTACAATGCAAAGTCTATTTTTTTCACTAGCTACAATGCAAAGCCTAGTGAATTGCAGTAGTTAAAATAAAAGGCCTAGTGAAATGCACTAGTTAAAATGCAAAAACTAGTGAACTGTACTAGCTACAATGAAAAACCTAGTGGCTTTCACTAATTACAATGCAAAGCCTAGTGAACTGCACTAGCTACAATGCAATGCCTAGTGAATTACACTAGTTACAATGCAAAGCCTAGTGGATTCTGCTCGTTATCCATTGTTATAATACCTTGCTCAGTACAGTGTGCTGGTTTTACCTCAATATAGACCATGGAGCTGAACTCCTCTCCAGGCTGAGGGACTGACAATCTCCAACTATTTCTACAAGGCTGACAGAATAATTGCATCATCTTTACTTCGTTACTTCTGCTGCCTTCACCCCTCCAGGGAGGTTCCTTGACGCTGGTGAGGAGCTCTTGATCTAGGGAACTGGATCAGTGCTCCAGTTCCCTGAATTCTGCCGGAATGCCTTCCATCCCACTCCCCACAGGCGCTGTATAATCCCTACGGGTTTAGCGCTCCCCGTGATAATAATAATCTGCTGCTTTTAACTTATACTCTGTATTTTACTGAAGAAGACTGCCGTGTAGGCGAAATTTTTCCAAAATAAAGATACTCCAGATAACCCAAGTATTGTACGTGTCTTAACTCATCAACCCTCAATACACTACAGTAGCTGGCTGGCCGAGTACATATCTTACAGGAAGGCAAGACAGAAAGGGTGCCTACACTTCCCCTATATAATTTTCTCCTTATAATTTTTAAGTTCCGCTACCTGCTGGTTTCACGGATCACCTGCCCGAGGGCCAATATTAGACTAGAAAGCCTGTTTCTGTGCCTGGTTAGTTAGCCTGCTGGTGTTTGTGGAATGCATTCCGTCATAGACACCACAGTCTAAATGATCAGGAATGGTTATGATAAATTTGACAAATTTGTTTCCCAGGACGCACAAGGACGTTCCATGTCACTCGGGAAAACCTTTAAATATTTCTTTCGAATATTTACATCGCTTTCATTTTGTATTCAGTACGGTGGTATTGGTAAGGACGGGCGAGAACTTCACCACGTACACGATACCATCATCAACACTTTACGGTTGCAAATTCTAACAAGTTCTCTGACTGAACTACCTTGTAGCTCAGTTCAAACATTGGGTTATAGGAATATTTAATGACTTCTCAAAACTTTTATGGATCGAATGTTGAAATTGTTTAACGTGTTAAAATATATACCTGGGTCTAAGATAACTGAAAATGTCTTTTTTTTTTTCCTAAGAAAATAAGGTAGTTGGACTGCTGGTGGCAAAAGCTCTCGCTTCACACGGTGAGGGTCCGGGTTCGAACACAGCGAAAGGATGAAAACATTGGGCGTGTTTCCTTATATCGGTTGTCCATGTTCACCCATTAGTAATAATGAGTACCTGGGTGTCAGACGACTGGTGTGGGTCGCATCCTGTAATAAAACTACCCTAATTTGCCCGAAATGCTCTGGATAACAAGCGGCTTTCTATATAGTAGTATGTCACTGATGTCAGCTAGGACTGTATACCTTGTACATGTACTTGTAGAAATAAAGATATATTACATTATTATTATTATAGGAGAGGTAGAGAGGATTGGGATTTTGAGGGTGAGGAGTTACGAATGGTTGGGTACGAGAGGATTGTGGTTAAAAGGTTTGGGATGAGGGGGAGGTTGAGGTGGTGAGAGATAGGGTAGAAAATGTGGGCAGGGAACCATCATTCTACCACTTAGACATGGAATTCAACGTTCCTTATTTTTTTCGTCGGTCATCTAGTTGCTTATTGATGGTTCAATATAAGTTCTTATGGATTTATGTAACCTAAATAAACTTAACCTAACAGCATCTGACGGAAAGAAGGAAGAGTTCAAGGAACTGATGTTGAACACCACGTCAGTAAGTGTTAATTAATACAACAAAAAATGGGTTGGAGGGAGGGCGAAGGGCTGGGAAAATTGACTTTGGGACGACATTTAATATTAATTAACATAACATAATTAACATCATAAGGTACACGGATACCTTTTATCCAACACCTGAAAACTTCCAGCAGTTACTGGAGTTTCTTCTACACAGAACCGGAGTGTTTTACACAGCATATGACATCAGAGCGGCTACTGAATTTTCTTACACATGACATAGCTCGGTAGGAAGACCGGAGTCCTCTAATACATTTTTCCCAGGATGCGACCCACAACAGTTGGCTAAAACAAAGGTACACACTTTTACTGCTAAGTAGGAAGGGGGCAACAAGGATGTAAGGAAACTTGACCAGGAAGTCGACCCCCGGGAGTTAACGATTTTGAGTCGAATATTCTCACCAGTGAGTTACGGATGGTAAAGTAGATTTCAAGATGGTGGGCAGGAAGGGTGAGAGGCAGGAAGGGTGAGAGGCAGGTAGGGTGAGAGTCAGGAAGGGTGAGAGGTAAGAAGGGTGAAGGGGCTAAGACAACTGAGGGGGTTGGAAGAGTGAGGGGGCAGGAAGGTAGAGGTGGTAAGAAGGGTGAAGGTTAATAAGGAGATAGATGGTGAGCGGTGGCGTGTGAAGTGCTGCTACTCGGGTGATATAACCAAGGCCAGTCAGTCTTAACGACACACCATCAGGAGTACCGCAGAGAGAGGGAGGGAACACTAGGAATCCATCACCATATCTTATTCCTAAAGTCATGTTTCTCCAAATGCAACCAAAAACTGCCGCCAATTGATGGCTCAGTAGTAAAACGTTGAGTATGCCATATGCCAGAACCACGGTTTGAGTCTCCCGTTCATTCTTCTAGTTATTCACTATAATCGTTCATTATGACTCAAGTTTGTGGATTATATAGCTTTAAGGGGATATGAGAATAGATGTATAGTGGAACCTCTGGTCACAAACGCTTCCGAACACGAACAAATCGGTTCACGCCCCAAAAAAAAATCGCCCGATTTTTGCATCTGGTCATGAACACACAATCGGGTGCCGAATAACACAGCCGCGCCTAATTTTCACATTCTGCGCCATTTTTCGCACGTGCCAATTGTCCAAGAACTCCTATAATTATGACTGATAATTCGGATTAGCAATGTTTTCAATGCAGTAGGCCAAAACAGCTTCTTGGAGTGCCAGTACCGCTAGACTTGTCATTATGATTTTTGCGTAAATATTTTTTTTCTTAGTTGTTTGTCGCTATCTTATGAAACTTACAATGTTGATGGAAATGCTTATGTTCACTGCTCAGCCATTAAGCCCCTTAAACTTTTAGGACTCATGCAAAGTTAGTTTCTCTGGTTGTTCAAGGTTTTTACATTTAGTTT